TTATCTTTGATGGTACGATTAAGAGCAAACGTAGCGCAACTAGGAGAAGAGGTTGCTTCAAATAGGTGGACTGTCATGCGAAGTTCTTCAGGGCTGTCAGTAAAATCTCCGTTCGTCCACCATAAAAAACGCAGAGCGTCTCTATCGCATTCGGGTACTTTAACCTGGCGGAACATTGCTTCGATGTCAGCCATTACTGCTCCCCTTTCTTGTCTAAACCTAAGAATTACACCCAATAACGAATTAGTAAGATTCGGACCAGAGAGTAACCTGTCGTTTAATGATCGTCCTTCATGTTTAGCAGCGCAATCGAATACTATTCTAATTTTCTCTGGTTTCGCTGGATGGATGACAGGGTGATGCGGTAAGTACTATACGTTAGAGTTATCATTTAACGGTGGCGCAATTTCTGCATATCCCTTTATAAGGTAATCTTTCATTGCATCCGCATAGCGTCTAGCTAAATCTTTAGAGGTACACAGTCGTTTGCGTAAAGCGTTCAGACGATGCAAACAATACGACTTATTATCCGTCCATTCTAACTGTGAATCTTTCCACGGGAGTGATATACAATAATGACAATCCTTTAACGTGATAGACTTCTCCATGATTCTGAGTGCGGTTCTATCTTCAATCGATAAATCTTTATCTTTAGACTGACTTTCCTCTAACAGGTCTTGCTGGTAGAATCTTTCAAGAGTACTTTCAATTTCTGAGAGACTGAGATGATTTGGCTTTATGTGTCTTGTGACATGAGTACCAAGGGGTCCTATCAGTGTCCAACCAAATATGGTCTTTATCGCGTACGGTTCCTCCGGTCTTCCTAACCTTTGTTCTAAGTTTCTATGTGCTTCAGGAACATTGCAGCCAACCAGTAGTCCTATTCGCTTACTTTCACATCTCCTCAGGTCTATTCCCTGCAGATGTTGCCACAATCGAAGCTGCTTCTCCTCTGGTACCACTCGCTTAATCTTAGGCAAACTGGGAACAACATATGCTCTTTCTATCCGAATTGACTCATCAGATTCGTATGAGCTAACTTCTAGTTGTACCGCATTTGTCCGCATCTCTCTGTAACCATTCATAGTCTCTATCCGAACACGGGCATATTCCATAGGTAATTTTAAATCGTCGACAATATCCTTAAGTACCAATTGTAGATTTATTTCGACAGTGGCTGTCCCAATTGTTCCTATAGATACACTCCTGTACGTTTTTCCTAGTTCCGGGTCCCGACCAAATCAAAAAGGGCAAAATTCTAGGAGAAAACGTCTCTATATTATTATAAAATGGAAATACAAAGTCTTACGGAATTTGTGTTTCTTCCAGGGTTAAATTACTCTGCAGAGTATCCAGCACAATAGCCGATAAGTGAAGCTAAGTCCAGCAGCCACCGTGTCCGTCCGAAAATGTGGCGGTAGCCATATTATATCAAATTTAAACAATATATGTACAGTTCAGAAGCAAACCCAAAAACGTCAATATAAGTACAAATATAGAAAGAATAACAATATACAATGATAAAATCTCAAATTGGAATCACATAAAATACCAAAAATGTCAAGAGAAAAAGTCCATCATGTCATAGCAAAAATATGTAAACATGGAGGGATTTTCCAAAAAACAAAACATTCAAAAAGAATTCTACACCAATGTCGAGTCAGAGCCGCTATCCAAGAATGCTAAAGTTTCTTCCGTACGGTCACGATTGCGGAGAATTACTGGGACCACTGCAAATGCCACCTTAGGTTCTTCATTTTCCGCTCGGGAATCTGAAACGTAATTAGTAGCAACATTCGCATTAGATGGTGAGACGTCCGTCGTAACATGCAACAATGTATGGTGCCTACCACCACAACCCTCCACGGTACATCCTCTGCGCAATCTACAATCCTTAGCTATATGTTTAGCCTTTAAACATAATCGGCATAACCTTTTCTCCTTGATTAGATCTAACCTTTTATCTACTTCAAGGGATAGCAAAGTTGGACACTGGTCTAGAAAGTGGTTGTCTTTACATAAGATACACACTAAATACCTTTCTTGACGTTGACTTGTAGGCGAGTGCTGCAATGTAAACACGTTCCTTTTTGTACTCGGTGGTTGAGAAGAAACAACGTTCCGGACTCGTTTATCTGACTTTAAATTTGCTGCGAGTTCTCCATATCTCGTACACATTATGTTGACACGTTCCTCGATAAACCTAGCTAAGTCCTCAAAGGTAGGCTCTGTGTCTTGTTTCATATAATCTACCGCTGTTTCCGCCCATTTAAACCGGAGATTCGAAGGCAACCTTGCCACAATAGCTTCTAGCGTTCTGCTTGCATTTAAATCGGACTGGTAACCTAACTGTTTTAATGTCACGACGCATGTTTGCATTTTTTGACTAAGGTCAGCCAATGCCGCCGAGTCGTCGTTCTTAACTGGTGGCCCGTCAATTATTTCATCTATAAAGGCCCTAGCCACCATGTAATTCTGACCAAATTTCCTTTTTAAGATATCTTTAGCCATTATAAAGCCATCTGTGCCATTCATTATAGTACAATGCTCTATAGAGTCTCTCGCCTTACCTGTGCAAAATTGCATTAAGTAATTCAAACGTATGGCGTCGTCGGTTGTCGCTTGTTCTACAACTTTCTGAAACCCTTTCGTGAATATCCAATACTCCTTTGGGTTTCCGTCAAATCTCCTTATTTCTGGCTTTGGCAGTTCGAAGTATCTTTCTACATAATTCGTTGTGGGACAGGTGTCGCTTTTCATGTCTCCTCTTTCGCTAGAATTTTGGGGACATCCTTCTCGTAACAGCGTTTCCAACAAGAGCCTTTTTTCCACTTCTTGTAATTTTAGCTTCGCCAATTCTATTTCCATTTCCTTCTCACGTAGGCTTTTTTGGCAGCTTAAGACAGGACTTTCAGGTTTTTCTAACTGAGCAGATAAATCTGGCATACTATCTTCTAGATGTTGTCGTTGTTGACGGAAAAAAACTTGAATAAATGTAGGATTCCCGTTGCATAACGTTAGATTCACCAGAATAACGCACCCGAAGTCAATGAATTAAAAGCTCTTTGAGTATTCGGAATATTTATTTGGAACAGTTAAATAAATATCGTATGTGGTTCTGCAACAAACAATTATTAATTTACTAGTTACTTACATTCAAAGTGATTAAGCAGCAACAACAACAACAAATTATCACAACGATCCGTGTCCCACACACCAAGCGAATAGAATGCCAAACAAAATGGCTCACCAAACAGTCAATGTTTCGACCAATAGAAAACAACTTCTAGATTGTTCGATCATACTAACCAATAAAATGCAAGTTACAAATTATGTAGTAAACACTCAACTACTCATGAGTAGTACAACCATTACAACTAAATCCAACAACCATATAGCATTCATGGTTATAACAAACAATTTACACAAACGTACGAACGTTTTACGTTGACAAACAGACAATATTACCATCAACATCAAAAGTCGTCCATTATGCTTCCGAAATATATCTAGTTGGCAACCATGTTATCACTGTTATGTCACCTCCTTTTCATATGTTTTGCAAACGATGAAAATTAGTTTCTGTTTCCCCGGTTTATGGTTCATCTGACATCAACTGAATTCAGACTAAATCGGTTACATTATGCATTGCACTTTGTATCAATCACGATTATTCCATACTAGCAAGTGGACTGGTAAATAAGATAGGATGTTGTGTGATTGTAACGACAACGTCTAAGTCAATGTGTCACTATTGGATTATTATTCTTAATTATCATCATTTTAGCAGAGAATTTAGTCATATAACCCTCTCGTCAGCCTATCAGTATCATTGAGATTGATGCCGTTAGCTTGCTGATTTAAACTAAACTGAGATCACTATTGTTTGAGGACCACCAACGACATGCCCAATCGGACACTCATTGAATGAATAATTGGTCAGCATGTGACCTGTAAACGAAGGTTGGGCAGTAAAATCATATTTGTTTTTTGCAAACTTTGCTCTCATTACTACAACATCATCTTCAGTGTGTTAGCATCAAGTCTCTTAGAAATTATTTCAATGCATACGACACATTTCAGCGTTTTTTTGGCAACTTAGTTTTGACGGAATGAGGTCGCCAACCCCATGTTCAACCCTACTCCTTTACCCGGGCTTGAGACCGACAGTAGACCCGAAGGTTCCTTCAATACCAAGTAAATTCTTCAACAGATTATTGTTTAACAGAATGAGGGACTTCGTTGACGCCCAACTTCGAGATCAACAGGCCGTATTTCGTAAAGATCGATCGTGTACTAACCAAATTGCTACATTTTGGATCATTGTGAAACAATGAACTGAAGTGAACTCACCATTCTACCTAATTTTCATCGACTATGAGAAAGCATTCGATAGCGTGAATAGGCAAACACTTTGTAGGCTTTTTCGACACCACAGTGTGCCTGAGAAAACAGTAAATATCATACGAAACTTTAATGATGGATTCAACTGCAAAATCGTACTCGGAGGACAGCTAACAAACTCTTTCGAGGTGGAGACCGGTGTGAGGCTAGGTTGCTAACTGTCACCCTTTCTCTTTCCCCTGGTGTTCGAATGGATTATGAAGACGTCGACATCTGGAGGGAAGCAAGGTATCAACTGGACAGTTAGGACGCAACTGAACGATCTGGACTTCGCAGATGATCTGGCTCTTCTATCGCACACGCAACAACAAATGCAAGAGAAGACGGCCAGTGTAGCAGCAGCCTCTGTAGTAGTCGGTCACAACATACATTAAGGAAAAAAGAAAATTCTACGATGCAACAGAACATGCACCAACCAAATCACTCTTCATGAAGGGGCTTTGGCGGACGTTAACACCCCTACCTATCTTGGCAGCACCATAGACATTCAAGGTGGATCCGATACAGATGTTAGAGCGCAGATTGGCAAAGCAAGAGCCTCATTTCTACAGTTGAAAAATATCTGGAACTCCAAACAACTTTCAACAAATCCAAAATCAGTATTTTCAATGCAAATGTCAAGACAGTTCTGCTGTATGGAGCGGAAACTTGGAGAACTACGAAAGCCATCATCCAGAAGATGAAAGTGTTTATCAACAGTTGTCTACGCAAAATTCTTCGTATTTGTTGGCCAGACTCCATCAACAACGTACAGATTCCAGTGGAGGAGGAAATCAGGAAGAAACAAACATTAGACAGAACTGGAGAAAGAAAGCACAGGACAGAGTTAGTTGGAGAAAATTGGTGGGCGGCCAAAACTCCATCGATGGTAACAGGCGTAAGGAAAATAAATTAAAATATAAATGACACACATCACAACTCGTTTTTCTACATTGATGTATCATCATCATTGTGATCAATATTCAGTGATCACTCATTTCAGTTGCCAGTATGAATTCTGTCTTGAATAACTAAATCACGTAGCACTGTTATGCGAAGCTTTGGTTATTTACATATATATGATCACCTCGAATATCTCTTTATATCCCTGTATTGTGTGTCATCACGACGCTGAATTTTCGTTGCTACAAATCTTACATTATATGTCTGTACTTTCAGGTCACAGGCGCTCTATGTTCGGAAGGTTTCAATAGAAACGATCTCAAAAAAATTCGCCATTATCACTGTGTTAGTAATACATGACAACAGGACATAAAAAATATAATCGAATCGTCGATTTGTCCGATTTAAATAATGAATACACTCTTTAAAGCTCTCCAAGCCAGTTGATTATTCATGCCTTCAGTTTTTCAAGAAGTAGGATATGCCAGCAATGTTTAATCACACTCAAAAAAACAGTTCTTGACTTCGTACATTGGATTACCCCACTTGCTGAATATTTATAACTAGTTGTAATTTTCAACGTTTTACTAGGAAACACGTTTTTCAGAATGAACAAACGTGCAAACTTGAACAATGTGATAGTGTCACAATGAAATCACCGCTCTATTTTATATGTGTGATTATTAACTCATGTGACAGTGTCACAATGAAATCACCACTCTATTTTATATATTTGATTATTAACTCATAGTGAATATAGAGCAATCGTGTGAATGAACCGCACGAGATTGGATGCAGTGACCTCACCTACCTACGTGATTAGAATAAACTTTGATGCAAACAAGTATATATATATATATACGTATATATATATAAACATATATATATAATTTCTGTTGTTGAGATTCCAAATACGCTGTTCTGTTTTCATTAACAATAATAATTCTTGGTTGTCAATGCGCGCATTGTAAGTCAATATTCAGTTTATCTCTGATCTGATAAATGAAAGAATTTGAATGATGATATTTGAAATTCTGTCGTTCCAAACTTAAACATATTTATGACAAACAGGATTATGTTATGAACAAACATGATAAGAACCCCACTTTGCATATGTAAATATCTTAACCATCTGACAGCTTTCGCATTACCTTTAGAGTTTTAAATGATACTTGAAACACCTAACCTATTCTTTGTACATTCATTCATTGTAGACGCGTTTGCTTGATTGTTCTTGCATGCACTACAATTGTGATTGTTCGAACACAAAATATAAGTTGGGATTCCTACAAGTTTGGTTTAATCTGGCCTCCAACATATTGTTATTCGTATATAGTAATGTTTCCTTCGTTATAAACAACCTAATTTTATCACTGTAATGAATACTTTATTATATACATGGTTACCAATTTAACTAAATTACCTATAATCAGTTTTCGTCACCATGACGTGGATCAATTTACTCAATATTTTTCGTATCACTGAAGAGGGATATTTCGTTTCATTGTGTTCAGTTATATCATCAATTATTAGCCACTGAATGCAGCTAGAAAGGATATAATGTTATGTGATTATTAACGGCGTTGAATTTGAAATTTGCCTAATGGCAATATCGCTGTGAGCAAACTTGATATTCATAATTATTCTTGAATTCTTATGTGACCCACAACGTGACGATTATGTGATGGGTAGTGAAATAGAATTCGAAAACTTCATGATCTTAAAACGAACTGTCAAATAATTGTATTGTTAGATCCACGAAAAGGCCAATTCATGAATGTACAACAGCGTATGAAGTATAGTAATGTAGTATACTACAATACCAGAAAACAGAAAGATGAGGTGTGATTCCACATAATATTTCAGAACACTTGATACAAATTTCAAAACGTACAATCGTTGTTTCGATTGAACATAATCATTTTATATGATATTGTTTTTCATCTTATTTAGCACCCTATACCTGACGGAGTGACATCTTTCACAATTCATGGACTATGGTAAGAAAATATTTTGATGATATGTTACGGGAATGTAGAATGAGGATTGAAATAGAATTCAGATGTCACTAGTTGTCCGTAATAAGTGGTATTTCGATGAATCTATGACAATGCTCATATAACGAAGTCGTGCGACAGTTTACTAAAGATGAGGGGCAATTCTGACGTGAACCCATCCAACAAATTGACACAAACACTTAAGATTTTACATGTATCACCCGAATAAATTGCAATATATATTGTTTTTCTTAGAATATTCAAATTTGATTGAATTCAATCCAGGATTCATTAGGTGAGAAAATCATAAATGGCATAGTCAGTGCAGATGGATCGCATTACAAACTTTTGACAAAAGCAAGATTTTTATGAAACGTGTTACTAAGCTGAATACCGAACCATTCAACTGTTCTGTTATTTTTAGAAATAAATGTTTTTCTATTTTTTCGTTTGACAGGCCTCTGATTTATCCAGACATAAGTCCGAATTGCACACCGACCGTAACATTCAATGTAACACTTTTAGGTGTGAGTTAAATGCGGTTCTCGCTTATCATTATGTGTCATTTATTGACATTTGTGATTGAATCTAGTGTTAAATAAAAGCGCACAAACAAAACACCTATTCCTTTATACTGAAATAATCACTAATTGTAATTTATCGTTGTAAATATATAAAATCGGAGTTAATAAATTAGTGATCAAGCAAATTCAAATGGAACAATCATACTACTATTTCGTTGTGTTATTTATGCAATTACTATTCACTTGTTGAAATAACACCGGAGTTACTAGTTCAAGTGTATTACTTCTATTACCAAATAAAACAGGAAGTA